CACTTCATAAATATGTTTCTATTCCCTTTATTTGGCCTCCTTCTATATGCAATGTAATAGCATTTGCCATCTGAACCATACTCTTAATACTTAATTACACAGCATTTCATATCATTGTATGGATTATAGATGGCATCATGAGTTTTCATTCATCTTCCTAAGTAGATAACAAACTTCTAGAGATCAGGAACTCTCTTACTCTTTTTCTTCACCACCAACGGGAAAACCCCAGGGCTGGACATATAGGACAAAGACAGTATGTATTTGTTGACTTGATAGGACAGAGAAGAGAAAACGCCTTACCAGAAATATGACATAAATAGCTGTTAAGAAAGAAAAGCTTAATTCTCTTCCCCATTTTTGTATACTTTATTATGCTGTTAGTATTCGATCTGAGAAGCAGGTTCTAAACATCTCTCCTTCCTTTTAGATTTCATAAGAGAGAGGTTAAAAGAAAATTTTACCCAATTTCCAAGGCTTTAATCAATAGACTTGAGAGGAGAGAGAGGACTATGTTCTTTTTTCTGGAAGTTAAGCTGTGCCCATCTTCCACTTCCACTTCCAGTCTAAAGATTATTAATAGGCTGGTCACTGTGGCTCATGCCTGTAATCCCAGCACTTTGGGAGGCCGAGGCAGGTGGATTGCTTGAGATTAGGAGTTTGAGACCAGCTTGGCCAACATGGTGAAACCCCCTCTACTAAAAAATACAAAACTTAGCCAGGCATGGTGGCACACACCTGTAATCCCAGCTACTCTGGAGGCTGAGGTAGGAGAATTGCTTGAACCTGGGAGGCGGGTGACTTCACCCTGGGTGACAGAGCGAGACTCTGTCTGAAAAAAAAAAAAGATTATTACAAATGTGATATTACAGAGTGTTAGCTTCAAGCAACCATTAACTCTGGACTCTTGGTCATTGTAGGGGGGAAAACAGGTTTTTAAGAACATGCTTATACTCTGGAACTCATGCTTAGAATAACTGCTTTTAAGCCACTTTTGAAAAAAACTATCCAGATAATTTTTTTTTTTTTTTTTTTTTTTAGATGGAGTTTTACTCTTGTTGCCTTGGCTGGAGTGCAATGGCACAATCTCAGCTCACCACAACCTCTGCCTCCCGGGTTTAAGCAATTCTCCTGCCTCAGCCTTCTGAGAGGCTGGGATTACAGCTATGCACAGTTAATTTTGTATTTTTAGTAGAGATGGGGTTTCTTCATGTTGGTCAGGCTGGTCTCGAACTCCCAACCTCAGGTGATCCGCCCACCTTGGCCTCCCAAAGTGCTGGGATTACAGGCATGAGCCACCGCTCCCGGCCCAGATAATTCTTAAATTCATTTACCCAACTTTCCCATCTCCACTGCTTCTCCTCTGGTCTAGGAGGCCACTGTCTCTTAACTGTGGTTCTAAAAAAAAAATGCTCCTATCTTCCAGCTTCCACTCTTGCTGCCTTCCAATCAATTCCTCACTCAGCAGTAAGAAACATCTTTTACTTAATTTTTAAAAAAAATTTTTTGAGACAGAGTCTCGCTCTGTCACCCAGGCTGGAGTGCAGTGGCATGATCTCGGCTCGCTGCAACCCCCACCTCCCCGGCCTGATTCGCCTGCCTCAGTCTTCCAAGTATATGGGATTACAGGTATGTGCCACCACGCCCAGCTAATTTTTGTATTTTTAGCAGACATGGGGTTTCACCATGTTGGCCAGGCTGGTCTCAAACTCCTGACCTCAGGTAATCTGCCCACTTCAGCCTCCCAAAGTGCTGGGATTCCAGGCATGAGCCATGGCAGTCAACCAGAAACATCTTTTTAAAACATAAAGAAAATCAGATTGCCAGGTGTGGCAGCACGTGCCTGTCATCCCAGCTTCTTGGGAGGCTGAAGCAGGAGAATTGCTTGAACCTGGGAGGCAGAGGCTGCAGTGAGCCGAGATCGCTGCCATTGCATTCTAGCCTAGGAGACAGAGTGAGAATCCATGTCAAAAATAAAAATAAAAAAGAAAATCAGGCTGTTTTCTGCTTAAAATCCTCCTGAAACTTCCTACTGTTATACAGGTGGAAGTCCATGTGGCCTAAGGACCTCCTGATCCTGCCACTCCATCTATACCACCATAGGAGGTACACTATGCTCCAATCACACTGGCTGTATATTTATTCCTCAAGAGCACCAAATGCTTCCAAATGCTTGAGGTTTTCTTCAGTGCTGTCTACTTTGCTGCTCTGCCACTCCACCCCTGCCTCTTCCTATGCCCGTTTTTGTTTTTTTTTTTTTGAGTCCTTGTTCAAATGTCTCCTCCTCTGAGCCCTTCTTGACAACCAAACTAAAAACTTGACTCCCTGCTCTGCCTCTCATTATTCTTCATCACAACAGCTTGTTGCCTGTATAAGACTTACCAACATTTGTGATTATTCATTTTTCTTTTACTTATGTATTGCATAGCTCTTCTACTAGACTCTAAGCTCTATGAAGTGGTACCATAGAAGACGACCAACAAGTAGATGTTCCATAAATCTTTTTAAGTGACTGGGTGAAGTGGTAGCAACTCAGGAATAGCTTATTTCTGTGAAAGCCTGAGACTAAGGAGAAGTTTAATAAAAAGACATCAATAAGCTCCTTTATATGCCTCGTTACGGCACAATTGCTAGGGAGTTTTGCTTCGAGGTGGGGGCAGGACCAGATGCCTCACTGACATTCCTTCAGCACTGAGATTCTGGAAGTCTAAATGTTGAGAATCCCACAAGCCCCTGTCAGTCTGAGCTAGCAGCTGCTTTGCAGAGGGGAGAAAATAAAGTTACCAGGCAGATGGGGTGGGGGAGGGGTGGGAAGATGAAGGCAGCCATTGCTAATGGGGTATGACAGAGCCATGGGGAGAGGTTTGGGGGTGTGGGAGGACCTTGGCCACAGGAATGCCTTTTTCCCCAGGACAAAGAGGGCAGTGACACAGAGCACAGGGAAGAGCAGCATTTGATTCAACCAAAGGAGTGGTCAATGCGGCATGGCGTGGTTGTCTTGGGAAGAGATGCCTCAACTGGAGGCAGAATTAAAATCTGAAACAAAGAGCGTCCAAGCAACAGAACTATTGCTGTGCTTCCAGGCCTTTTCGCCTGGAACTTAGTGGATTCGTGGACTTTCAAACCCTGACAGAGGTCAGAGGCAGAGGCAGAGATCATGCCTCCTAATTTTAAACAAAAGATCACTTGAAGAGACCCCAAAGCTCTCTTAATCGCAGGTTCTGCCTGAATTGTGAAAAATCGCCTTCTGACTGCTCATCCTGCAGCTTCCTTGCAGCTGAGGAATGGCACCTTGTCATCCTCAGTGGGCATAACTGGCTTGCAGCCCCCAGTCCCTGTTTCACTGGAAGACATCAGAATCCCACTCTCAGTCTACTCGCAGCCACACGGAAGCTGCAGAACAGCCAGATTCCCACTGACCCGCCCTGGCACACTTCTGAGAATCCATGGGTCCAGATCAGGGCATATATCATGTTAAGTTATATCTTCAGTAAAGTTATCATTTAAAAGAATTTAAAGTGTCCCCACCCACAAGAAAGCAAGCCTGAACTTTTCTTGAATAAGTTACCCCTCAGAACTGAATCAATACTTCTTTTCCTTTAAAAAAAAAAATACTTTGTCATTGGGATCAAACCAAGAAGAGTTATATTTTTCTGCAACAATACTTTGAGCTTTCCTGTTTGAATTTACTTTGTTTTAAAGGAGGTGATGGTGTTGTGATTTTGAAAAATTGGTCCTAACTACAGAACTGACTTAAGTAGTAGAGGTAAGTGATTCCTAGATAAACTATCTAGCAAATGGCAACCAGGAGATTTATCCCTTTCTTTAATGAGTGTAGATTTGAATCTGTCAGCAACAAAGATAGAGGGAGAAGTGTTTCTAAAAAGAGATCAGAGAAGAAAAAGAGGATGGAGGAACAGGGAAGTGTAGCTTCCAACAAGAACGGCAGCCTGGCTGGTGGGTGGGACCTCATGGAGGAAGTGATGTCTGATTCCTCTGTCAACCAGACCCATTTCCAAATGGCTTTTGAATCCTAGGTGGTAGGTCCAAGAAAAGGATGATGGCATTTATTTGCCTTTATATCGTTTTAATACCTGTCAGGGGAAAATGTAACACTCTGACAACAGCCTTAGAAATAGCATCCCACCTGGACTGTTAAGACCACAGCAACTGGCACATTTGGCCAAGTTCTTATGGTGAAGTCTCAGTAGGCCAGTCCAGGTGTAATCTGACTCTGGTGGGTTGACAGCAGGAAGCGAGATGAAAAATAAGGAGCAGATCTGAATAATAAATCACTGTTACTGGGCACCAAAACACAGATGAGAAATTTCCCTCATCCTCAGCAGGTTCACCCTCCTGCACAAGGAATCAACTACAGGACATGATCTCAAACACCTATAGATGCATCTTGCAGGAAGCGTACACCCTTCAATGAAAGATCCTCTTCTGGACTTGCTATGCAGCCCATCCGAAATGGATCAGGTCTCAAATCTGGTAAAGATGATCTTTCCCCTTGATTCTTGGGTGGGAAGTGGGAGGTGAGACAGGGGTGGGCCTGAGTTTATTTTTTAAATCGTGTATTCTCTTGGTTCTGTGGAAAACTGCAACCGTATCTCCTCTTCTCCTTCACTCTCTCCTCCCGGGCTCCCTCCCCAAGGATGAAAGGATCTGAAAGTCGGATTTCTCCCCCTCAGCTAAGCCTGCCCTTTCTCCCCTTCCCAGCCAGCAGCACACAGCACCTGGAGCCCCAGCATAGCCGACGTCCGACCCTGGCAGGCGGGCGCAGCGAGGGCGCCGAGCTGCAGCCCTTTTCCAGCTGCACTGGAAATTTAATTATAATTAATCGTGAGAGCTTCAGCCTTGAGGATTGAATTTTTGAAATAGAGCACACCCCGCTGGTTTCTTTCTGGTCTTTTTTTTTTTTTTTTTTTTTTTTTTGCATTTCCCTTCCACCCTCCCCAATGGCATCGAAATTTAAGAAAACGAACGAGGAGTCTCACCCACACCTGCCCAGGGACCGACGCTGGCGGAGGATGCGGACAGCCGGCGAGGAGCTGTTCTGCTCCGGGAGGATGCGGCTTTGCCGCGGCGCGCGGGCGGGGCGAGGGGCAGGGCGGGGCAGGGCCGGGTAGGGCAGGGCCGGGCCGGGTAGGGGGCGGGGCCCTGGCTGTCACGTGGGCTCGGGCCCTGCCCGGCCCTCCCGCCCGCCCGCCCGCCTCCAATGGCTCTGAGAACCAGCAGGGCCCCCGCTCAGCTGCTCTGGCACGCCGCTGCAGAGATGGCTTCCTGGGCTAAGGGCAGGAGCTGCCTGGCGCCTGGTTTGCTGCAGGGCCAAGTGGCCATCGTCACCGGCGGGGCCACGGGCATCGGAAAGGCCATCGTGAAGGAGCTCTTGGAGCTGGGTACGTGAGCGGGCCGCTGCTGCACAGACATGGCTGGGGTGTCCTGGGGTAACCTGGAATCGGGAGCCAGGGGCTCTCGGCGGAGCTGGGGGAGTGCGGAACTGCAGAGCAAAGCGGGGGCAGGTGTGGGCGAAATTACGACCACCATGGAGACAAAAGAGAGCAGCTTTTCCTAAGGAATTATGGAGCCACTGGTTAAAAACTAAAGGGACCACTCAGGCCAAAGAGACTGTGCCCGAGATAGGCAATAAAAAGAGCAGTGACACATGCTGTGCAATTAGTTTTATATTCAGATTTAAAATTCATCCATTCTGTATGCTTAATGTGAGTGATTAGGAAACGTGGGAAGACTTCATTTAACTGGAAAAAATTGTAAGCATACTGAGAGTCTCTCATAGTATATTCTCACATCTCTTAACCACAGCAAGGAAATATGCTGAATATTTACCTTAACTTGGGTGAAGGAAGGCCTTTGTAAACATTAAGTGAGGGAATAAACCACAAAGGGGAACATAAATCAGTCTGCCTGTATGAAGGTGTAAATCCTCATTTAATTAAAAAAATGTATAAAGTTTAAGGGCGTATGAAGAAAAATATTTACAACATCGATAAATTGTTTGTTGGTTTTGAGATAGGGTCTCACTCTGTTGCCCACGCTGGTCTAGAACACCTGGGTTCAAGGGATCCTCCTGCCTTGCCTCTGACTCCCAAAGTGTGGGGATTACAGGCTGAGCCACTAGACTCGGCAAAGAAAAAATCCAACACACTGATAGAAAAATTAGACTAATGGTATGGACTAAGTGTTCCAAAAGAACTACAGACAGGCAAGAAGCATATGAAAAAAGAATCAGCTTTATTGGTAATAAAATATAAAACAGTAAGATTTCATTTTTCTAACAAAATTTTGAAATATTGGGAAAAATTAAAGTGTTGATGCAGGAATGAGAAGGCAGGAATGTAAATTATTACAAAATTTCTGGAGGGCAATTTGGAAAAAAAGATCCAAAAACCTTCACAATGTTTATGCTCTATGACAGTAATTCCTTTCTCAGGAATTTAAAGAAACAGAGTCAAGCAAAGATTTTCATGCAAGGATGTAGTCTTGAGTAGTGAAAAAATGGAAATTACCTAAAAATCCAATATGAGGGAAATAGTTAAATCAATTACAATGAAATATAATGCTTCCATTTAAATATCTTGCTATTTGTCCTGGCGAGGTGGCTCACGCCTGTAATTCCACACTTTGGAGGGCTGAGGCGGGCAGATAACCAGAGGTCAGGAGTTCGAGACCAGCCTGGCCAACATGGTGAAACTCCATCTCTCCTAAAAATACAAAAATTAGCGAGGCATGGGGGTGCACACCTGTAGTCCCAGCTACCTGGGAGGCTGAGGCACAAGAATCACTTGAACCTAGGGGGCAGAGGTTGCAGTGAGCTGATGTCAAGCCACTGCACTCCCGCCTGGGCAACAGAGTGAGATTCCATCTCAATAAATAAAGAAATAAATATCTTGCTATTGAAGACTTATTTGGATAAATGCATACCGTATTATTGGGAAAAGTAGAATTCTAAACCTAATGGCATTCCAATTTTACTTTTTTTTTTTTTTTTTGAGATGGAGTTTCACTCTTGTTGCCCAGGCTGGAGTGCAATGGTGCCATCTCCGCTCACCGCAACCTACGCCTTCTTAGTTCAAGTGATTCTCCTGCCTCAGCCCCCTGAGCAGTTGGGATTACAGGCATGCCCCACCTCGCCTGGCTAATTTTGTATTTTTAGTAGAGACGGGGTTTCCATACACTGGTCAGGCTGGTGTCGAACTCCCAACCTCAGGTGATCCGCCTGCATTGGCCTCCCAAAGTGCTGAGATTACAGGCATGAGCCACCGTGCCTGGCCCAGTTTTGCTTTTAATAAAAAATACACATGCAGGGCTGGGCGCGGTAGCTCACGCCTGTAATCCCAGCACTTTGGGAGGCTGAGGCGGGTGGAGCATGAGATCAAGAGTTCGAGACCAGCCTGGGCAAACATGGTAAGACAGGGTTTCATGTGCCTGTAATCCCAGCTACTCAGGAGGCTGAGGCAGGAGAATCGCTTGAACGCAGGAGGCAGAGGTTGCAGTGAGCCAAGATCACGCCACTGCACTCCAGCCTGGGTGACAAAGCAATACTCCATCTCAAAAAAAAAAAAAAAAAAAAAAGTATTATACATGCAAAGATAGACCGGAAGGAAGTTTATAAGATTTTTAGCTATTTTTCTGAAAATAATGTTAATTATGAGTAATTAAAATTGTCTTCGTCTTTTAAATATATTTTAATGAACCTCTGAATTACCTTTAGTTACCACTGTTTCCAACATCTGGCATAGTATGAACTGAAAAAGAAAACATCTATATTTTTAGTTAAAAAAAAAAAAAAAAAGCAAAAACATTTCCTAATGAGGCCATGATGTAACCTCATCACCATTACTGCCTAGTGTATTCTCAACACCAAACTCTCTCCTTTTTCAGGAAAATCTATAAGAAAATCAGAATCGGTTATCAATTCATGCAAAGGTCAGCTACTAGGCTTCTCAGCAGATGCATAGGACCCTAGTTCACCTTGAAGGACTTTCAGTGGGATTTTACGTATTTGAACTTTCATCCTGTTGCATAAGTGTGCTATTCGAACTTTCATCCTGTTGCATAACTGTGCACTGGCCAAAAACTACACCCCTGGAATAAGGTGATAAACTGTATTTTTCTTACCACAAACTAAAACATTAGGACAATGGTCTTGTAATCTTTTGGAAGACATGGATCTCTGAGATTCTGATAAAAGCGATGGATTGTCTTTTGAGAAAAAAAATCATATACTTAAAATTATATATAGACAATTATTTTGTTGTATTGGAAATGGATTTCCTTCAGTGAAGGAATATAATATTTTATATATATATATATATATATATTTTTTTTTGAGATGGAGTCTCGCTCTGTCGCCCAGGCTGTAGTGCAGTGGCACAATCTTGGCTCACAACAACCTCCGCCTCCCGGGTTCAAGCAATTCTCTGCCTCAGCCTCCTGAGTAGTATTTTTAATAGAGATGGGGTTTCACCATATTGGCCAGGCTGGTCTTGAACTCCTGACCTTGTGATCCATCCCCCTCGACCTCCCAGAATGCTGGGAGCTACCACGCCTGGCCATAAAAATCATTTTTTATAATGACTTTTTCCTCTTTATTTTTTTAATGCAAGAATTAATGGCTATTTCCACAACATTGTTATAAAAACCCAAATTGAGCAAAAAAGAAAATGTTAGCCAATTTTTTTTTTTTTTTTTTGAGACGGAATCTCACTCTGTCACCCAGGCCAGATTGCAGTGGCATGATCTCGGCTCACTGCAACCTCCGCCTTCCGAGTTCAAGCGATTCTCATGTCTCAGCCTCCCAAGTAGCTTGGGACTACAAGCATGTGCCACCATGCCTGGCTAATTTTTATATTTTTACCAGAGACGGGGTTTTGGCATGTTGGCCAGGCTGGTCTCGAACTCCGGACCTGTAGTGATCTACCCACCCCAGCCTCCCTAAGTGCTAGGATTATAGGCATGGAGCCCTCACGCCTAGCCTCCAGTTTTCTTTCTAGTCAGAAGGCCACTGTTTTTTGTTTTTGGTTTTGTTGAGACGTAGTTTTTAAAACGATGATGACTGTATTGTCTTTCACTTCCACAGGATTTTGACTTTTCCTTTTGCTGAGAGGATACAGAAAGCTTTAGCTCACAAAAGCAGGATATTGTAGGCAGAATTGGATCTCCTTTGTACCTTTGACAGGTGCCATTAGGCAGAGAGAAACCTGATTTCGTCAAGAAAAACCTAAGATCATGAAGTTGAATTCATATCAGATCTTTTTTTTTTATCTTCAAGTTAATCATTCACTTTCTGTTACTACAGTACAACATAAATTAGGTATAGTAGATAAAATGCAATTAGGAAATGCAGGTGGAAATTATGAGCCAAGACAGCATTTTTTCTTGCTCTAATCTAGTCTAACTAGCCTGTTACCAACACCAGGGACCAAGAAGTTGCTGAATAAATGTAGTATTCTGAGTTGAAGATGGAAAAGGATCAGTATTAGCCTAAGCAGGAACACAGCATACTGGGGCTACAAGCCTCTGATGTTGAAAGAACTCCTTATCCACAAGCTACTCCTATACCTATTCTTTTTTTTTTTTTTTTTGAGATGGCGGAGTCTTGCTCTGTTGCCCAGGCTCGAGTGCAGTGGCGCGATCTCGGCTCACTGCAAGCTCCACCTCCCGGGTTCACGCCATTCTCCTGCCTCAGCCTCCCGAGTAGCTGGGACTACAGGCGCCTGCCACCATGCCTGGCTAATTTTTTGTATTTTTAGTAGAGATGGGGTATCACCATGTTAGCCAGGATGGTCTCGATCTCCTGACCTCGTGATCTGCCCGCCTCGGCCTCGCAAAGTGTTGGGATTACAGGCATGAGCCACCGTGCCTGGTCTTCTGCACCTATTCTAACCAAGTAGTTGTGCTTCCAGGATCTCTCTAGCTACATATAAACAGAAAGTTTATTCAAATGATTCAGCATGAAAGGTAAGGATTATATATAATATTTTTCTAGTTTATTATAAGGTAACATAAGAGGTTTCCAATAAAAATAGTATAGAAGTGTATAAAAGAAAAAAATGAGCTTTACCCATTCTGCCCTTTTTCTAAATTCCCTTC